CAGGATCACAGGTCCTCTCTCCTACGAGGTTGCCCTGGACAACGGTCGTGTCCTGCGGCGGCACATCGACCAACTTCGCTCTAGGCGAGACTTTTCTGATGAGACTCCTGGGTCTTTTCCAGGGGGGGAGGGGGACCCTTTGGAGCAAAGGGAAGGGCAAGAGCTACTGCCCACCTCCACTGAGGGAGCCACAAACGGCCCATCCCAGGGATTCTGCAATTGCTCCGAAAAGGAAGTCATGGAGCTTACCCACACAACAGGCACTCACGCCTACTCCAGCCAGGGAGTCACCCCGGGGGCATACTCACTTTCCACATACATCACACAGCACTCCAGCAACGGAGGATACCCGGGGGCATCCCAACAAATCATTCCCCGCAAGAGAGCTGGCACACAGTTCCCAAGGTTGGCCTGACCTTACCCCAAATCCTACAGGGGTCAAACATACACAGAGCTAGTCGAGGAACCAAGTCCCGACTACAACACCCCTAGCACAAATCAGGGAACACCTGAGTTTTGGGAAAGTACAGAAACCCACACGAGCCCGAGCACAGAATGGGTTCAGGGAATGGACAGCCTCCTGACAGGTCTTGGACTGACCTAGGAGGTTCTACAGAGACGCCCAGCAGTGGCTATCACTTCAAGGGGCCTGAGGGTCTACAGCTAGGTAGGACAACCAGGTCACAAAGCAACAGAAGCCCTGGCCTGACGAGCCCGGTGGGCAAGCAAGCAGGCCAGGCATCGGGGCACAGTCCTTGGAAGACACCAGGGCACAATAGAGAGAACAGGCTCACGCCTCCCTCCAGTCAGGGGACTTATGCCAGTAACCCAGAGCTAAGAAGGTCACAGAGAGCAAAGAAATCTCCTAAGTATCTAGAAGATTACATAACATTGCTGGCAAGGCAAAAGCCAGTAATCAGTGGGAGCACTGGGGAGCAAAATGTCATATAAAATAAATGTTGTATGTTGGTAGTAGTTTTAGCCCGGGGGAAAGGGGTGTTATGTCCCGAGCCTTGCAAACGGCTCGGGCGTTTGCAGGCAGTCCCGGGCAGGTGCAAAGCTGCCCGGGACCAGACAGGCTGTCGCCAGCGCCGTGCGCATGCGCGGGTGCTGGCGCGGGAAAAGTAACCCATTTACCCGGGAGTTGCCTATATAAGAGGCTGCGAGGCGTTTGGGCGAGGCTGAAGCCATCTTCCTGTAAGCTGAACGCTGAATAAAAGAAACTGAGAACTCCAGCTGCTTCTCGTGTCTGTTTTCCCGCCACGGACTCAACAGTGGAGAGATCAAAATATAATCTTTTATGTATAACCCAGCCATTGTTCACTCTTTCTTGTTTGCGCTCTGTACTTTATTCAGAGATAACTTAAAAGCTGACCAAGGAGACAGAAAAAGTTAGCTGTAACCTAGCCATAAAATAAGACCTAGCTTATTTTTATGGGTTCGGACTAATATAAGCACTACACCAGTGGTGGCGAACCTACGGCACGGGTGGCAGAGGCAGTAATCAGAGCCCTCTCTGTGGGCACATGCACCATCGCTCCAGTCCGAGGCCTTCAGCTGGGTTTTATAAAACCTTTTCACTTTAGGCCTCCGCGCCGTGTGCAAAAAAAAAAAAGGTTCAATAAATCAATTTCAACTTCTCGCGGGGAAAAAAAGATCTTGCAAAGTTGGAATTGATTGATTGAACTTTTTAGTCCCACCCAATCTGCCATTACCACCACACCCACACCCACCCAATTGGCCACACCCACCCAATTGGCCACACCCACCCAATTGGCCATACCCACCCGGCACCCAACGATGCATAAGTGGGTTTTGGGTCACAGTTTGGGCACTTGGTCTCTAAAAGGTTCGCCATCACTGCCCTACACCAAAAAGCCCTACGTAACCCCACCTACTCTGTCCCACTGTAGTTTTTTTGGCAGGCCGGATTGCGTGCCTCCCCCTGCCTTACCTGCTGCTGGTGCCGCTGCTGCGCACTTCAATTTTGCGGCTTGGCTAAATTGTTCAGCTGCAGTGGGCTGCAGTTCCCATCACCTTCAGGAAACCTTAGGCCAGGTTCCTCGCAGCTGAAGCAATCCGGCTCTCCTGGGGTCATGTTGGCCGTCACAGGAGGCATGACCCATCCCCATCCTCCAGCTCCACTGCACATGTGGGATGAGCCTCCCGCAATGGCCAACCTGACTCTGGGCAAGCTGGATTGCTTACAGGGAGAGGCTGCACATCGCAGGAGGACAACTGTAAAGGGCATGCCCAGATCCCTGCAGCTCCTGGAGGCTCCAAGTGCTGCTTTTCACACTGCTTAGTTTCCCACTCCACTCTTGCCTGGTTGATCTGGTGGGTGGGATTGTCTTCTGTCTTCCCTGCCGTGCATTGGCAGCTGATGCGGCCCTCCTGAGAGGTGGCAATTGGATGGTGGCCACGCTGCAAATGGGGATAGAGCATCCCCTGAAAGCACTGCTGAAAACAGTGAGGCAAACACGCACACAGACACGACGCCAAAAACAGTGGTGTGAAAAAGGCGCACATAGATCCCTGCAGCTCCTCGAGGCTCTGAGCACAGCCCTGGGATGGCCATGCTGGACAACGGGAAGGACGCCGAGGTGGCAGGTGGAGAGCCAGAGGCTTGGGGAGAGAGGGAGGTGAAGCGGGCAGGCAGGTGGAGCGCCGGAGGCTCGGGGAGGGGTAGTGGTGAAGCGGGTGGGTGGGGCAGTCAGAAGCTGGGGGCGGCCAGATCGAACAAAGTGGCAGGTGGAGTGCTGGAGGCTCGGGGAGGGAGGGTGGTAGAGCAGGCGGGCATCCTGCCATCAGTACCCATCTCTTTCCTTACCTGACCACTAGCCTCATGCCATTTCTCTTTCATGATCCACCACCACCACATGCGGGAAAACAAAGGAAGTTTGGGGGGGGAAGGTCAATCAATTTCAACTTTGTGAGATCTTTTTTTTTTCACAAGAAATTGGGATTGATTGACCTTCCCCCCCCACAAACTTTTGTTTCCCTGCAAGCGGCGGCAGATCATGAAGGAGAAACGGCATGGGGCTGGGAGTCAGGTAAGGAAAGGTATGGGTGCTGATGGCAGGATACCTGCTCGCTTCACCCCCCAAGCCTCCGGCGCGCCAACTGCTTTGTTTGGCCTGGCTGCCCCCACTTCGTCGCCCTTCCTGCCACTGCCCAGCATGGCCACCCCCGGGCTGCAGGGGCTGGCCGGCAAAGGAAGGGCACACACCCCACACACCCCGGTACCACACCTGGTCCGCCACCATGCTCTCATCACTGCGTTGCTTCTCCACCCCATGCACAGGCCCCGCCCCACTCTCACACGCTCATGGATTACCAGTACTGGCAAAATGTAAGCCTCCCTGAAAGTAAATCCTAGTGTTTACTCTAGAGCCCCAAAGAAAGTAAGACCGGGTCTTACTTTCGGGGAAACACAGTAGCTATAAAAGGGAAAAATTTTAGTAGTGTGTGTGTACCTTTTTCCTATGTCTTGCTGTGTCTGGAACAAGAGATTGGGAGTACTCAGCTTTGCCTTTGATCAAAGAATAAAGCTGTTTCTTTTGCAGTAGCCTTGTGTTCAGAGTCTCTTTGGGATTTATTTGGATTCTGAGCTGAAAAACCTTACAATAGGATTGTTACAGTGCTGTTCCAGTGCTAAATTTTCATATATGCTGCACTGAGTTCCTAAAATATAAGTTGCTAATGAATGTAATAAATATATATATACAACTAGTATATGTTCTCTGAGAATATATAATCACACAGAGATTGTGCAGATTTGGGGGCCCATGCGACTGAACAGATTGATACTGAAAGCTTCGACTAGTGTAAATGTGCTATGTTACAGTAGGTTATGTTGTTTATGTTATGTTTAACTCCTCTGGTGTTCTATTGGATTCCAAGCAGCATTTCTGCCCTTTGAATGCCAGCATCTTAATTTAGATTGGGTTCTCTTCAGCATGAAGATGCAAAGGTAGAGAAGTGCTCTAAAAGTCACAGCACTGTGACTATGACAATGGCATGATATTTTGAAAAAAAAACCTTCATGGCCAAAATATCTAGGAAATTACATTTTAAATTACAAATACAATGTTATGGTAACTTTAATTAATACAAAGGATACCTCTCACACAGTAGCAACTCAGGTTATCTGAACTTGAAAACCTAAGTGAGGGGGAAAAGAAAGCCTAGTAAGACAATGAAAGGAAACTTAAAAGTACCTTACTAAGGATCTGTTTAAACCAAAAAATGAAAGGTATAAGATGGCCAAATATAAAAATTAATTGCACAGAGTACCAGAACCTATATTCAGATGGATACTATGGCTAAATTAAACGAATTTCAATTGGATAGTAAAAATAGTTTGGTACAATATATATCTAAAAACTGCAGGAAACTATCAAATATTAATAGACATGCACCTCACTAGTAATAACAATACACGTAGTCCTCGATTTACAACCACATATGGACCCAAAATTTATGTTGCTATATGAGGAATTTGTTAAGTGAGTTTTGCCCCATATTACGACTTTTCTTGCCACATTTGTTAACTGAATCATTGCAGTTGTTAAGTTAGTAACACGACTGTTAAGTGAATTTGGCTTCCCCATTGACTTTGCTTCTCAGAAGATTGCAAAAGGTGATCACATGACCACAGAATGTTGCAACTGTCATAAATGTGAGTCAATTGTCAAACATTCAAATATAAATCATGTGACCATGGAGATGCTGTAATGGTCATAAGTGTGAAAAATAGTCATAAGTCTACTTTTTTCAGTGCTGTTGTTACTTTGAATGGTCAGTAAATGAACTGTTGTAAGTCTAGGACTACCTATATAGATTTCTCATATTTTATTAATGATATATTTCATATTGTCGCCTTCCTTGTGGGTGTTTTATGCAGCTTTGTGTGCAGCATAATAGCCAGGATTTTTTTTTTTTTTCTGTATAGTTCATATAATGGTCTGAGCTCAAAATAATACCCTGCAACTTACTGATTTCTTGATTTAAGAAAGGTATTTTACTTGTGTTTCAATTCATACACAAAAACTAGTTACTAACAGTGCTTAAAAATATTAACGCTACTCCACTTCACAAATGTACAAAAAAATAATAGTAGATTTACATTCAACTACTAAAGCTTAATGTCCACACTAGATAATAGTTGCATTGACATTCACATACATAAGCACAGAATAAATATTTTAGGATACTTATAAGAGCATGTTGCATACATACAGTACTTTAATTTTACATAATAAGCAATAATTTGAAGGGTCAGAAATTCATAAAATCTTAGAGAAACTAAACCCAAGAAGATCATGTAGGCGAATACATCAAGACACTTAACAGAGCTAGCAGATTAGTTGCTTGGTGAGAAAGAATTTATTTCCACTTCCCCTGATTATTATTATTATTATTTTTACAAAAGGAGTGTACTCAAAGTGCAGAATAAGGAAAGCAAAATGAGAGCAAGAAAATCTTATACTTCTTTAAATGCATGCAAGAGGGAGTCCCCATTCCCAATCTAGTGACCTGATATAATAAAGCGGTGATTGGCAAATATAATACAATGTTTCAGGCATTTTTTTCTAAAGCACTTTATTAGCAGCAATTATATTTTCTAATGGCTGTAAATTTACTTCAGTTTGGGGGTAAAGGACATCATATTTCTTCATTTACAGCTATTCTCCCTTTATAAATATATTAAATCACTAATAGCATGGATAAGACTACTTCCTTCCTTCTATATTTTTGCATATGTTTTATGGAAATACTCTGATATTTTCAGAGATGCTATGTGCAAAGGAATGTTAAATAGAGTGGAAACAAGGACATAAAGGAAACATCACAGTCATTTACATTCCTGAGATGTCAGCCCTTAATTCCTTTGTTAAACTCTGAGAGCTTGTCAGCACGGTGGTTTCATAACAGCCTTGGATTATGTCCCCAGAGGGATGTTCAGTTATCTGGGTTGTAGACACTTCTATCCACACAGCTGCACACAAGATGTGAATAAGGAATCCCCACTCTCCAAAGTTATTTGTGTTTTTTTTTTTTCCAAGAGGGAGATATTCCACACACCTTGTTTAGCTCTACAGTAGCGAGTCAAGGATATGGGAGGTTGCCATGCAGACGTTCCCTGAGGGACATCCTTGCTAGGAGATCAAAGGCCTTGTTGCGGCAATATGGCCAATGGCTTGGAAGCAGACATACTTCATGGTTTCTCATATGAGTTGTCTGAGTTAAACTTGCTTTTTTGCTGGAGTGTGCATATAAAACATATAAAAGCTTGCACTCACAATATACATGGGTAAATCTGATGGAATACAAAATAATCACAAATTTAAGGTAGATCCCAGGGCACATTAATTTAACAAGTAACTTAATTTGTTCATGTTTTGCGAGTGCTTTTGCATCATATTACTCTGACCTTGCATCACCAGCCAGCCATCAGTGCGCAGGAGTTTTCAATCAGCTACAGGGTGCACAATAACAAAACTGTTTAACTCCCCACCCTCATATGTCATCAGGATAAGGTTACAGATTCCAATTTTGCTTGGGCTGTGTTTTGAAAAGTTTCTCTTCCAGAGGAGAGAAAAGAAACTGATCTGCTTTTTTTAGAATCTGAAAATAAGCCAGGGTGGAGAAAAATAGTTAATGTCAGGTATGATAAAGCTTTCAAGACAAAACCTGTCAAGCAAAAGACATTGTGAATTCCCTGCAGATTTTTGAAGTCTTGCACATACAGGAAATTGGTTAACAGTAGGAAGAAGTTGGGAGTTGCTACATGGGAGAGCTCTTCCAGGATTGCAAAAATTGGCTAAATCGATTGTTCAGTATAAGCCTCTCACTGATCACTGTTATCAGTGGCGCTATTGGTCTTTTCTTTTTTATCCTGAGCCTTGTTTCCCTTCTTTTTTTTCTTCTTTTTCTTGGTCTCTTCCTTCTTGCCAAAGGTTATGAAGTCACTTTTATCAGTTTGGCTATTTGGCGGATCTTGACGAATGGAGATGATAGCAGGAGATCCTGGGATGATGAATTTGTCTGGCAATTCACTTGGTCCTGGCTGCTTGGAATTACCAGGCCCATATTTGAAAGTCCAGCTGTTGCTGTTCACGCCAGCTCCCACTGGAGGGGACACTTCACCAGCTTCAGGTTCTAGGGAAAAAAATAAAATAAAATCAAGCATTAAAATATTATTTAGCTAGAAATTCATGCAGGTAACTTGCAGCTGTTAGTACTGTGTTCTAAGAATTATTTCAAATAAGGGTCAAAATGATGCTATCAATACATATCAAGTTTTTCACAGGTGGGATTTATCTTTTCTAATCAAAAGAAATCACATTTCCTTAATGTTCTTTCAAAACCCTGGAAATCTACAACTTGAATTGTCAAATTACAATTAAGAATGATTTTTAAATTTTTATATTGAAAAAAAAAACAAAAACTACCTCATGCATCTATCAAACTGGATTCTACCCCACAGAGGCTTGTGTCCAACAGGTTGAATATTCTGGCATGTAAAAACTACCTTACAAAGATCAAAGCTGTTTCATTTGAATTATTATTTCTAATCTTGAATAGCTGACCAGGTAGGAATCAAATCAACACAAAATGGAAGAGTGAAATAAATGAAATTATTTCCCTTAGTTCCTTGTGCTTGACAGACATGGATTAAAACAGAAAGCTAAGTAGTTGGTCTATCGTTTGTCATTAGGCTAGAGATGGGGAGAAATGAATTCAGGTTGTATCTGTACATCTTAAACTAGTATATGATACAAACATCCTATAATTCCTCAGTGTTTATACTTCTCCAGTTTTTGTGATGTGGTTCTCTGATTTTTAAAAAATGTACATGTATACTAGTTTTCTGGATGGTAAGAATGGAGGGTGGGAATATATCATTATTCTGGCATATTGTATAGGAGTCTTCCCAGTGACATGAATGGTTGGGATGGAGCAAGATGAGAGAGTACAGAAAAATGGAGCCCAAGAATGAATTAGAATGATGATTGTGTGACAAGTATTCACTTAGAAAAAGGAATGTTTATTTCAAACAGTCGTTTAAGCATAGGTCTACTCAAACATATAAATAAGAATGAAATGGATATGAATCTAAAATCATGATTCATTTGATTGTTCTTAATAAAAGAATGAAAAGATACAAAGGTGGTGAGAAATTCTGAATGAAGGACAGACCCTTTTTTGGGCTGTATGAAGCATGGGTCTTGTGCAGTTAAAAAAGGACAAAGAAGTAAAAAAACAAACTATTGTAAAAATGACTGCAGGAAGAGAAAATACAAGTCCTGCATGGAAAAAAAAAATTACAGAATGAATGAAAACTGAAAATAAAGAAACATGGAAGCTGCATGGAACAGAGTGAAATATGTGTTACAGAATTGCCACAAAAGTATGTGAGGCTGCTAATGGGAAATAAGAAAAAGGATGTTTTTCTGATTATTGTAAAGACATGACTAAAATATTTAAAAGTTTGCATAGTAATTATAACTAATTCCTCTGTAACTAAATATATTTCTTTTTGTGTTTCAATATGAATTTCTACACAAATTCTTTTGTAATATTTTAATTTTTGCTAATATTGCTAATCTTTGGTAATATAACAAATTATGTCATATTATATTCAGCCTTTGCTGAATATATTTTGTATTTTGTATTAATTCAATATTTTTCATTAAAAATATGATTAGTGATATACAAAAAACCCAATATTAGTATTTTTTCTATTTTATTCAGCATAAACATCAATTCAGAAGTTTAAGCTGCAAAATTCCCCCCAACACAGTTTAAGAAGAAGGGAGTATCAGTCTTAGCAGGTAGACCAGACAGGAAAAACAACCTGATAAGCTAACTGTATTTTATTGCAAAGCTATATAAACAGAATCTTGCAATTCTAAAAGTGTAATTCTTCCACTGTCACCTTTACAACCTGATAATGTAGGCAGGGTCCTTCCTGAGCTTCTTGCACCAGGCACTATATCTTTGTGGGCTATGCTCTCTCTTATCTGACCATTCCCTAAGCAGTGTCTCTTTAACTGGTCTCCCAAGATCATCCCCACGTACAAGGAGGCTTGATGAAATTGCTCACAATAGCTGAGATCATGTCACTGCTCCTGCTTTTATGTGGCAACAACACGATTAGTTTACTATCTTTTTTATGTGGCAGATTCTAGCCAACAACTTTATTCACAGAATCAGCAGAAAAGGTGAGGGAAGAAAGACAGGAGAAGGCAAGGAATTAAAAAAAAGAACAGGAGAGAAGATTTTGCTGTTCTAAGAAGATAATCAAGACTGTATTGCACTCTCATTTTTCTTTTGTCAGATTTGGAGATCAGAGTCAGATCACTAATGCATATAATTACACTAGTCCCTTAAGATCCTTACTCAGTAATATGAAGCATCAAGCAGAGGCTCCATTGTCATTGATAAGACCATTGCATCTACGGCAGCCTCCAACAATGACCTTTTCGGACTGTAGGCTTGATTTGATTTTTCCCATCCTCCCCCCCCCCTCCCATTTTGTAAAAACATTTGCAAGAGTCTAACATCCACCTTCACATCATGCGGGGAATGATGGCAGAGGTTCATATGATCTCAGAATCCTAGTGGACAATCACTTAAATATGAGCCAGCAGTGTGCTGCAGCTGCCAAAAAAGCCAACACAGTGCTAGGCTGCATTAACAGAGGGATAGAATCAAGATCACGCGAAGTATTAATACCACTTTACAATGCCTTGGTAAGGCCACACTTGGAATACTGCATCCAGTTTCGGTTGCCAGAATGCATAAAAGATGTTGAGATTCTAGAAAGAGTGCAGAGAAGACCAACCAAGATAATTAGGGGACTGGAGGCTAAAACATATAAGGAACGGTTGGTGGAATTGGGTATGTCTAGTTTAACGAAGAGAAGGATGAGGAGGGACATGATAGCAGTGATCCAATATCTCAGAGGCTGCCACAAAGAAGAGGGAGTCAAGCTATTCTCCAAAGCGCCTGAAGGCAGGACAAGAAGCAATAGATGGAAACTAATCAGGAAACCAGGCTAAAAGAGCTTCACTTCCATCTCCACACTCTTCTCCATCCTCCTCCTTGCTTCTCTCCCCCCCCCCGAGATGAAGACTACCATCTTTGCCAGCATCTACACAACAAAAAGTAAAAGAAAACAGCTATAATTATATTACAAAATTTATTTTTTTCTGAAGTCTATGGACAATATGTCATGTTCAAATCATAAAATCTTAATATAAAAAGTAGAAACTCCAATAACAGTTTGTATTATTGTTATAGTTCATATAAACTTATTAGTATTACTTTAAGCTGGGACCAGAAATTGTGCTGAAATGAGGACAAAATAAGGTCCTCCTGCATTTTGCTCAGCCATTTTTAGACAGAACATTCAATAAAGTAATGATGCATCTATAAAACTGACTTTGTTTAAACTACAGAATAGATAGGTTCTATTCAAATCTACTTTGTTAATTATCTGTTTTGGGCAAAAATGGGCAGCAAGGACTTACAGACTTTTATGCCTCCTTCTATGGATACTTTATGGTATGTAGTCTCAATTTCTGCAGCCCAGCCCTGGAAACCCCACCCTCAAGATGGCTCCTCATCAAAGAAAGAGTAAAGCATCAAGCAGAGGGTTAGCATTGCAGAGCTGTGGGAGCAATGCCAAAAATAGATTTTTCTTCTGCTGCTCTCCCTCCCTCCTGAATCTGTCTCTTGGGGGTGGAACAGGGCATACAGTTGTCATCTCTGCACAATCCTAAATCCACAGTCTGTCATTTCCTAAATAAGGTGAGGCTGCAGCACAAAAATTCTGTTTCAGATCCTTCTGATTTTCTATGAATACCTTTCTCTGTTGAAAAATGGAGCCTTCCAAAATCTGAAAGACTTAGGAATCACGTAACTGTCATTCTAAGCAAATGTATTCTTTAGTTGATTGATTTTAATCCAGATTGTAGCTATTTCAATTCTCCACATCTTTTTTCAAGTAATTGCATATTCCCTTGTCTATCTCTTATATTGTTGCTATAGCTACAAGAGGCTATCACCTTTTTAACAAACTAGAATAATATTAGGTTAAATCAAAACTATTTAAATATATGCCAATATAAAAGGCATTATTAAATCACAGGGAAGAAAGCGAGCTGGTAGGAAATTGCAAGATTTTCCTATCTTTTCATGTTATGCTGGCTGCTGTTTTTTCCTTTGGCTGATATGATGAATATTTATTGTTACAGAGAAGTCATATATTGTCTGTGTTAATTCTGAAAAGCTTGCAAAGCATAAACATAGCTGGGAAATGTGCGTCTGTAGGGGTATAATACATGGAAAATATGCAAAGTGAATGACTTTCTTTACAAATATTAAAAATAGTCTTGACTTTTTAAAAGCCTTTTCTGGATTAAATTATCTCTAACAACTAACTGCATATTAAAAAAAAAAATAAACATAGCAATTGACAGAAAAGAACCTAAAGATATTACAGTGCCATCTATTCACCCAGCCTTCCTAAAAAAGAGGAGGCTTTTTAAAAGCGGGTGCCTTGTTCTCTCTTGTAATCTCGTGTCTTCTTGCCTGAGTGACAGATGCCCTGAGGTCATATACCGTAGCTGCTTATGGGATTACAGGGAACCTCTCTATAAGCCATCTGGGTCAGCTTTCATGGAAGACCATCCGTGAGATGTGATGCTTCTATTTCAATAAATAATATTTGAAATAATATCTAAAATATTATGAAAATAATATTTCTAAACCGTTTCCAAGCCTCTCCTTGCCTCAGTCTCTCCAAATGAAAGGTTCTGCTCAAACTATTTAATATTAGCAGCGTGTATTAGCGTGGAATGAAGCTTAAGGTTCAAACTAGAGTGGCTTCTTTGGCATAGATTTTTATTAGGCATCGCTCCATTTCAACTCTGGGGTTACAGAAAGGTCAGCCAATTATTGTCAAGCTCTGTATGGTGTTCAAAGAAGGGGAGAATACAAACTGAAAAGAAAAACAGTTTCTGTCAACCAAGCTTTCTGAAATATCTAAATTATTTCTCACTCTAGGAAGCTATTATCATAGTAAATACATTATACCCTGTTTAACAGTGATTATTATAACAGAGATTTAGATCAGATTTCTAAAGCAAGTG